GTTCTTTTTTTAGTTAGTAGTTTTCGAACGAACGCTTTATTTTTTTCTTGGTCTTAAAGATAAAAAAGAATTTCAAATAAAACATATAAGTTAATCTTATATGATTCCTGATACCTGAGGCTGTTCTCCTGTAGAATAAGCAGTATCTGGGTTATAACGGATGAGTATAAGATAAGGGTTATTTCGAAATTGGTCTGGGGGCTGAGGTAACCCTCCCCTGAATTCTAGCTCTTCGATTAATTTTTAAGAACCAGATGATATACTACCTGCACGTTAGTCTGGTTTGCACTTGTAAATTTTTACAAGACTGAATGTATATCAATTTAATAATTTTTTTTGAATTATATTTATTTAAAAATTAAAATAAATTGCTAAAGTTATTATTTTTATAAATTATTATTGTATCATTATATAATATAAAAAAACCTTCAACATTTTTGTTTAAAGTAATAATTTTTTCTGTATTCATATAATTTCGAATATTTGTTTCGTTTGTTTTAATGATAAATGAATAATTTTTAGATTCAATTTGCGTAAGTGTGAGTTTCGTGAATTTTTAAATCTTTGACTGAACATAAAATGAAAAGTATAGTTTTCAGCAGAATGAAAATAAAAGGTATTGTTAAGTTAATTTACAAAAAAATTTTTTAAAAAAATTTTTTTTTTTTTGGACTCAGAGAAAATAAAATTATAAAAAGATGGATTTTAGATTATTTTTATTAACAAAAAATGTCTAATTGGCAAGAGAAATTTAAAGACTTTGAAGTTTTGACTAACTGGGAAAAATACAAGAATCCTGATAAACCAAGACTCAAATTAAATGAATATCGTCTCGTGAAAATCAATTTCACAATCTATTTAGAAGCAAAAACACAGAAACCTGAAGTTACTTTTCTACTCGATAAAGAAAATTTTCATTTCTTGAAAAATTACACATGGTATTATTATAAAAAGAAAAATGAAAACATAAATTATATTAGAACACGTTATAAAGATAAAATTTTATTACTTCATCAATTGATTCATCCTGAATGGAAAATGATTGATCATTCAAATCGTAAAGGATGTGATAACTGTGAATGCAATCTTCGAAAAACAACACCAAGAGAAAATCAATTAAATTGTAAATTACGAAAAAATAATACTTCAGGTTATAACGGTATTTGTTATAACAAAACACTTAAAGCTTGGACATTTTTTTGGTATGAAAATAACAAACTTAAATGTAACAGATTTCGTATTACAAAGAATAGAACTAGCGAACAATCAAAACAACAAGCAATAACTTTTAAAAAAGAACACGATAAAATAACTGGAAATTTAAACGGAAAAGAAATAGAATTTTAATTATTTAAAATTTTAAATTTTTCATACATTATGCAAATTTTAAATATGTATTTATCGAAAATAAATAAAGAACATAAATAAATTCTTATTTTAAATATTATTCTTCTTGACTAGATTGAATACTCATAGGAAAACACATACAATTTTTAGTTTTTTTCTTTAATTTTTTATTTTCTTTTACTAAATATTCGTTTACTTCAATTAATTGACTTTTTTCTTTTTCAATTTGTTCAAGTTCTTTTTTTAATTGATTTAATTCACTATTAACTTGCATAATCTGAATTAAATTATTGAATTCAGTTTCTGAACGTAATTTATCATTATTCTTATAATTTTGAATTATCTGTTGATGAGTTAATACTTGATAAGGTTGAAATTGTGAAAATTCATGTTGCTTTTGAATCGGCATTCTATTATAGATAAATTTATTAATTTATTTTTAATTAATTAAACAAAAAATATTACTCACTTAATCAGTACAAGGAAAAGTTGGTAAGAATATGTTGAAAAATCTATTTTTTTTTTATTATAAAATTTAGTTACATTAAGTTCTTTCTTATATATAAAATAAATAAGCGCAGTATCTTAATAATTTGTATAATATTATATCTAAAATAGAAACAATGACAATAATAAAAATTAAGGACTGAAGTTTATTTGAAATTACCTAATTATAATTTCGTCTAAATTGAAAAAAAAAAAATGCCATTACAGATTTGGATAAATGAATTTCTAAATCAGAATTTTACAGATTTGGATATGATATTCAAATTTGATTGTTGTGTAACATCATCTGATCATCATACGATTGTTTATTTATTTGATTATTTTGATTTTTTCTGTTTTCTTTAGGTGTTTGATTTTCTTACACCATAGGACATATTGCATACAAAATAGTTCTGGATTCTGTGTAAAAAAATAAGACCATTATATAGCTGAAGACGGCCTTGGGAATTAATTTCCCTGTTAAAGAGCAAACAAATTTTTTTGTTATTCTCAGCCCGTGCATAAAGATCAATAAGCGTTCTACCCCCAAACATATTGGCTTATTCTTGCTTAAAGCACTTAGAGGCTATTGTCTTTATTTTTACATAGGTAAGGATTATTCTTGAAACGGGCTGGAACCTACGAATATGTTCCTCCCCTGAATCTCATGATATGTAGCGTCCAAGTCGCGAGGTTCGGACAACTTACATTCTTTGTAAGGCTAATAACATATCAAAATATTTTTTTTGTCATTTTTTTAAAAATTTAAAAGTTTTTTAAATGTAATTGTCGAAAATTTTATTAATAAAATAAAGAAAGTCATATTATAAAACTATAAATTTTTTGATGAGTTCTACATTTTTTATTATTGACCCAAAATCGATTTGCATAATAAAATTTTGTGCAAAACGTGAAAAATCGTTTGACAGTAATTTTTAAAGAAACGATCTGCAAAGAAATAAAGAAAATCGTTTCATCAAAAGTGATTTGATTTTACGAATATTTATTCTTTTGATATGAAATTTAACATATGAGTTCTTTAAAGAAATCTGCACCAACTTTGTTATCATCGTACATAATGTTTTCTTTTGAC